AAATAATTAACGAGATAACCTCTTCTAGTATATTTACGTTAGACGGACCGCTAGATATATCGGATATAGAGAAGGTCCGCTTTACTTATAATACTATAGGCGGCGACGGGGCCGAGGACGACCGGCCGGGCCTAAGGGCATAGATAAGGTCGGCGGGGGCGGGTCGAGGGGGTATAGATATCTATAAGCTATATATTTACGTTGGTTATAGAGATAAATTCGCTAACTCGCTAGACGCCTTATTCTTCGCGAAGACCTTTCCTACCCTATTGCCGTTTAGATATAAAGGACTACGGCTAGCGGAGGAAGTTATCCTAGGGTTAGAGGGGCCGGTTAATTCGCGCGCTACGGTAGTCGGAGATAAGACGGCCGCGCGAGATCTCCTATTATCTCGGAATATAAGCCTTCGGACGTAGGCCGGCATCGTGCTACGGCGCTATAGTAGCCGATTCGCGACGTATACTATCTTCTCGTTTCTCGTTTTTAATATAAACGTATAGTCGAGGAATCGTCGTATTAATATACTTAGCGTAACGCGGAAGAGCTTCCTTAAGGTAGAGCGTATTATATAGTCGCTAACTATAGATAGGTTAGCGGCGGCTAGGCTAGAGTTAGAGAGCCTAGGTAAGACTACCGATAATAGCGTTAAGGAGCTCCTAAGATACCTTTTACTATACGGCTACCGGCAGCCTATATCGAGGGAACTCTATCTAAGTATATAACGTAAGATCTAGTTATTTATCTTATATCGTAGCGTACCTATAATATAGTTTACGCTTAACCTAAATAATATTATAAACCTAGTAAAGCTTAGACTAGCGGCGTACTATATATATAATCCTAAAGCGGCCGAGGTATTTCTAAGAAGCCTTGATATAGTATTTAAACGTACGCGGCTAGCTATCTTAGACCCGTTAAGTTCGGCCGAATTCTTTTACTAGGAAATAACGTTATTCCTCGAAAATTATATTAGAGTAAGCGAGGAGTTAGTATTCGGGCGCATTAGCTACTATTACGGCGCCGTAGAGACTAATAAGCGAGGGGCGCTTTATATTTACGGACTGCTCTAGCTATAGGGAAACGCGTATTTAAGCTCGATACTTATCGATATCTACGGCGAGGATTAAGCGGCATACTAAGAACGTATTATTAGATACGTCGATAGCGTCTTTTCTAAGGTATAGTATAAGGGGCCGCGTATTAGCCTATATCCCTTATTTAGTTAAACCTAAGCGAGAGGAATACTAACGAATAGGATAGGATCTCGACTAGGAAGGTTTCTATATAATCTAGGTAGAGCGATCGGTAACGTTAAATATATCGTAATTACTAGGCGATAAACGGTAATTCTTAGCCTTGTTCGACGAAAAAGTAAACTTCTATACTAGCGCGACGTAAATCTATACCTATAGCCCGACCTATATTAAGTACTCGCTAGGAAAAAAGGGGCGTAAGGGTAATTTATACCGCTTTAAGGCGCTATAGGAACTAGTCGACGAGATAGCCTTTATAGGGGATAGCATGCTATAGATTTAAAGGTCGTATAGTATAGTAAATCGGTAGAATAAGGTAATTGCTATAGGGCTTCGCTATAACTATAATATATCCTTTATCGCTATATAGCGTAAGACTATAGCCCTTATCTTTTACGTTACTAACTATACGACTAAGGTAGAGGACCCTATATAAAAGCGCGTTATCGCGGCCGCGGACCTCTTACCTTCTAAAGTAGGCGACGAAATAGCTAACGGCGCGGAGGTTTATAGAGGCGAAGGTGCTAGGGATAATAGTAGGTAAAATAAGACACGAAAATTCTTAATAAAGGTAGCGAATCGCGTATTTATAAAGAGGCCGTTATCGTAGGTTAAGGTTATTATAGATCTTTTAAGATACCCGACTAAACTAATAAATAATAGTACTTAGGCGTTCCTAAACGTTTCGGTGCTCTATTAGTACGTCTTTTAATAATAGCCGTACCTTCTACGAGAAAGCGGCGTAGCTACTATAGATAGTTCTATAGATAAGTTAATACTCGTCGAGGAAGTAGGCTAGAGGATTTACCGCGTCGAGGTATATCGTTACTAAGGAGATATCCTTTAAGGGCTATATCTCTACGATTATATTTTGCTAGTTAGGCTAAAGCGTAATAATAGGGATAAGAGGCCCGCTACCTAAGGCGAGGTCCCGCTTAAGAGCGGCTAGGCTCTAGGAAGCCGTTAGGTATAGGTACTTAGGCGACCGGGTAAGTAGGCTATAGTCTGCCTTAACGGGTATAAGTAAGGATTTCGATAAAGATAATAAAGGATTATACTACTAAAGGTACGTTTATCGTTAACGGACTAGGGGCGCTAGGTTAAAGAGGCTAATTTCTACGTCGAAGAGCGGCTATATAGCATCTTATACTATTTATACCTTAGGAGCTCTTCTTAAGGGAAGAAAGCGGCGATATTAACCGTATATAGGGGAGGGAATAAGCAGCTCTAGTCCTAAGGATATTATATTACGTCGATAACGTATAGTTACTATAACGGTTAGCCGAAGATATAAAGCGGAACGCTAAGTAGTAGGTAGCCTTATCCGGTAACGGTAACTCTACGGCAGTTTATCTAAACGAGGATAGTACCGCGGAGGCGGGTATCGAGCCCGGATCGGTAAACTAAGCCGATAATACCGGAAATATAACGCGTTTAATCGATATTATTAAAAGCTCGATCGGGGCGAACTAGATTATAGCCGGCTCGCTAGAGCTTATAGCGATAATATAGGAGCTTAGCCGCTTCTAGTAACTAGTATTTTCGTTGTCTTCTAAGTTCTAGGCCGTAATACTATCTAAACGGGGCCCGAGATAAATTAATATCCTAGGGCGGGCATCCTCCGGAGCTACTATACCGCCGTAGAGTTAGGTTAGGGCTATAAAGTTATAGTAAACCTATACGTTTAGGGAGAGGGAGAAGATAATCCGGGGCATATAAAGCATGCCCTTAGTAGAGGTGACTAATCGTTAGGCGGCGGTACGTAGCATGCTTATAGGTTTTAGGGATAACGATATCTTAATAACGGCGGCGGACCTCGAGGAAACGGTAGAGGCTAGCGCGGGAATAGAGATCCGGCTTAGCGCCTTAACCTCCTTTATTAAGGCGGGTAAGGCCCTAGTAGCGAGGTTTACGCTAAATAAGAAGTAGGCGATTGCCTTCCTAATTATATACCGTTAGCTTAACCTTATACGGCGTAGGGAGAAAGGTAATAGGTATTAGCTATACTAATTCGTTGGTAGAGAGGGCGGAACGGGTAAGTCGCGAGTTATTAAGGCGCTCGTTAAACTCTTCGCGTTTAATAATTAATTAAATCGCCTAATAATAACAGCGACGTTAAGGACGGTAGTAGCACGGATTAATAGTATTACGATCTACTCTACCTATAGGTTCTCTAAAGATCTCGCGGTAGTCGTAAATATAGCTAGGGATCTTAATAGGTTACGAATACTAAACTAAGCGGAGCGGTTCGTCTATAGGCAATCCTAGATAGACTAGTAGGAGAAGGACATACTTATTATTAATAAGGTTAGTATACTTAGTGCGCGGACGCTCTACGCGGTTAACGAGCAGCTCTACTAGCTACGCGGGTCGTACTAGGATTTTAGAGGGATCCCTATTATCCTCTTCTACGGAGACTTCTACTAGTTCCGCTTAGTCTAAGAGCGGTCGATCCTCCTCCCTAGCACGGCCGTCTCGTAGGATATAGATAACTCTTTTAAGGCCGAGCAACGGTACTAGCACGATAAGGCGCACGCGCTATAAAAGAGGTTTACGACCGTCGTTATACTTAACGAGTAAGTACGCGCCGCTAGCGACCTAGAGCTATAAAGGCTATTAAAGCGAATCTAACTAAGCGCGTAGGACTATATAGATCTAGACCTCCTTAACTTAAGATACTACTAGGAAGGTAAGCGGATCCTATAGGTATTAGGCATTACTATAGTAACGCCGCTAAATAGGAACCGGTAGAACCTTAATATAGAGGCAAGCTTAGCGTTTTAGATCTAGTACTAGTCGACGCTACGTATCTTTATATCCGGCTATAAATAAAAGGAGGGCTTACCGACGGAGGAGGAGGCTATTATAATATTAAACTAGGGCGACGATAGTATAATACCGGTGCCGGCCGTCTTTATATTCGTGCTAAGGATACCGGTCGTCGTAAACTATAATACCTATTAGGGGCTAAAGCTAGTAAACGGTGCTAGCTATACGGCGCTAGAGGTTATCCTTAATAAGTCGTACCTAGGGTATCGTATCTCGGTAGATATAACGGTCTATTTCGGGCCGCCGGCGGGGATAATACTAGAGTCTAAGACAACGAAAGATATTTACTCTATTAAGATACCGCTAGGTACGATCTTATTAACGCCTATAACCGTTAAGATATAATACTAGTAAAAGAGGCTATAGTAGTAGAACGACGTTAGCTAAAAGGGTCTGCTTTATATAGCGGCCTTCTTATTATTATTATTATTATTATTGTATTTTCCGTCCAGCGACCTTTAGGTCGCTCAGGTCCCCGAGACGGGGCACAGGACGTGCTGAGCTGCTGGAAGTCTACTATCGCGGAGTAGGCCCACAATACGCGAAACGAAACGAGTACCAATCCGCGTCTTCTGCCTTCCACAGAACGTAAACAATCCACCATTCAGCATTTCATCGGCTCAAAGGCGCTTCTTTGCTCAGCCTGCTGCCCGTCAGCGGGACGTTCAGGCGCGACAGCCATGTCTTTCGTTTTGGCCTCACAGGGCCGGTTCCGGAGAGCACCCTCCGCCCGGCCGAGTCGGGTAAGAGAAAATGTGTGTGTGCAAACAAAGGGAAGGAGGAGGAAAGCGGTTGCTGCCGCCTAGTGGCGAGGGCAGATCGTTCCAAAGAACGAGCTTGCCTTCGCCACCTTGACGAACTGGTCGAAGTCTCTGCCTATTGCTCGGTTGACCGCCGCGCTCGGTGAGGGTGCCAACCTCATCCGATGTCGCGGCGCGATCTTCCGGCAATAGAAGAGATGCTTTGTTCTTTTCGTCGACCACATGAGCACGTCAGTCGCGCATCGTCGTGGTTCAACCTTTCGTGGTAATCAGCGAAGTCCCCGTGGTGGGTTCTTGCTGCGAGCAGATGGTGGAGCAGAGGTCGTGGAATGGTAAGTTCTGGCGGGCAGCCAGTCGTGGCATCGAGGTCGAGGACCCTGTACTGTTGGGGTGCAGAAACTTCCCACCAGGCTTTGAATGCGTCTTTTGGTCGCTGCCTGGCGACCTTGCGCAGATATGCCAGCGTCGGGAGAGCGTCTGCAGGCTCGGGTTGAGAGGTTCCTGCCTTTGCTAAGGCGTCTGCCTGCTCGTTACCTGGGATGTTGGTGTGGCCGGGGATCCAGCGGATCTCAGTGGCACCATGTTCTGCGGCCAAGGCCTGGAATTCCAGGAACTCCTTCTGGGAGGAATCTGACGGCATGCCTTGAAGACACGTCGCGACCGCGAGGTTATCGAGGCATACGACAATCTGGTCTGCAGCCGGGAGGCTCAACGCAGCACGCAGACCCTCTAGGAGCCTCTCGCCTCGGCATCAAAGACCTCAGCAAGCCCAAGACGGCCGTTACCGCTGAGGACGGTGAGTCCATCCTGATGTACCGCATAGCCGTACCCCGCGGCTCCCTCCGGGAGAGGATCCGTCCGAGTAGACGATTGCTGTCCGTGGAGCAACTGATTGGAGCCACTCGCCGAAGTTTGCCGCCGATTCTTCTTTCGGCGCAGTTTGCAAGGGTCCACGCTGGTCGCTGGCGAACCTACGTGCGAGAAGGTCTGGCCTGGCGCACCTTGGGAGCAGCTCGTCAGTGCGACGCAGTCTGGTCCGGAAAGGTTGTCGTGGACGCTGGTATTTTAACTTAATGGCCCTGTTGATGACAGGGGCCCGGATCGGCTTCGTTCGCACCGCAAGCGGGTGCGCTTCGTCGAGGACTTGAGACGGGCTGCGAAGCGCGTTCGACACGCCTGGAGCAGGTGCGAAACTGGCGGTATGCCCGCCTCCCGGTGCCTGGCGCTGAGCGGCGTCGTCTTCCAGACCGGGAGGATGGCTCGCATGGCCGTGTTGAGCGACTTGTCCATCCGCCGGATGAGGTGCCGTATTCTTGATGGCCCTTCCTTTGCCGGCTTATTCCATCGCGGGCAGGTCATGCCCGGGTACCACGCCTCTGCCCCAAAGAACAATTGCGGCTCGATGCAGGCGCGGACGCTCTCGGACCGCACCTGGTAGGGGCCGCGGTTGGTATTTGTCAAACCCTTGAGATGGTAGGCCACTGCTTGCGCTTTGGCAGTCCACTTCTCGACGTGCGTCTTGAACGTCAGGGTGCTGTCAAGCCAGATGCCGAGCCACCGCATGGCTGAGCCTGGCCGCTTTTCTACCTCGCCATGGAAGACTGGAGGTGCATTCCTCGGTGTAGTTCGGGAGAAGTGCATGACTTCAGTCTTCTTGGGGTCGAAGGTTATCGCGTTCGCGGTGCCCCATGTCATGAGTTCGTGAACATGTTTCGACGCTCTGTGGGCAGTCTCCTCCAGGGAGTCTCCGACGCAAAGGACGGCAGTGTCGTCTGCATAGCCGAAGCGCCCCTTGGGGTTGCTCAGGCGGTAGATTGGCTCTGTGTATAGTAGGAAAAGTATGGGAGAAGCTGGCGATCCTTGCGGCAGTCCGCACTGCAAGGGTGACGAGGTGTCATGACATCCTGGTAGCGGACACGTGCTGCTCGGTCATGCATAAAGAGCCAGCCCAACGAGCGACATTCCGAGGCCATCCTTGCTGCCGAAGGCGAAGAATGAGCCTGCTACGAAGGACAGTGTCGAAGGCGCCTTCGACGTCCATTGTCACGAGTGTGGCGACCTGCTTGCGCGAGAAAGCCTCCTCGATGTCGTGTACCAATGCGGCGACAAGGTCAACAGCGGACCTTTTCGGCAATGCGCCAGCTTGTTGTGGGTGCAAGACACCATAGTGGACGGATGCCCACGCCAAACGGCGCGCAATAAGCCGTTCGAGGCCTTTGCCCAGACAGGAGAGAGAGAGATTGGACGCCAGGCGCGGGCCTCTGACAGGTTCCGACGCCCGGCTTCGTGATCATAACCACTTCCGCTTCCTGAAAGGCTTAGGATGGTGACCGATGTCGAGACAGCCCTGATACAGCTTGTGGACGAGGCTTCAATGGTATGCCAGACGGCACGGAGCATCTTGACCGTAATGTTATCGGAGCCGGGAGAGGTGTTACCCGTGCGAAGGGTCGCGTCCCGGACCTCCTCCAGGGAAACGTTCTGAGCGAAAGGAATCGTCCTCGCTGTGTCCACTGGGACCCACGGATCCGTGATGTCATCCTGCGAAGTGCGACGTTCGAGCGTTGCTCGTCGCAGGGCGTTGGCTTTGTCTAGTTGGGTCTCATAGACGGTATCATCCACTTGCAGAGGCGGTGGTTGGAAAGCACCGGGCGATCTCAGCCAACGGACCGCCTTGAAGACGGACGCACTGTCCGTGAAGCTGTCAATCAGATCGCGCCAGTAACGGCGCTTGACTCGCCGCACGACTCTCTGGAACTTTTCGCGAGCTGAACCTCTCGGCCGAAACCGAGAGCGTAGACTCTCCTCACTGCGCGATACTCCACCGCGGCCAAGGAGCATTCCTCCGTCCACCAGGGCGCGCTGCGTGCGCCCTTGCGGACCGGCCGGCCTGCAGCTTTGGCGGCAAACTGAAGTAGGTTAGTCACTGCTAAGGCAAGTGAATCCAAGTCTTGAGGAAGCGGTTGACGGCTCGATAGCCGCCACGCCGTTTTCAACCATCTCTACGAAGCGTCTTATTTCCTCGTCAGAGGTAAGGCGAACCTTCCCAGTGGGTGGGGGCGCTACAGCGAGCTCAGGCAGGGTAGTGCTGAGCGTGAAGTGGTCGGAGCTGGTGGCAAGATGGTCTTCCACCACGGCATTGGCCAAGGCGATATTAGAGAAGGCAAGGTCGATCGTATTGCCATGAGGATTTGTCGGGACGTCAGCCGGGTTGAGCAGGTTCAGACCGTTGGCTGTCGCCCATGCAGCTACAGCCTCGCCGCGGCCCTCGATGCGGCCGGCTTGCCAGCTGTGGTGTTTGGCGTTGAAATCGCCTGCTACCAGACATCTGTTTGGCGCGGGCCATTGAGTAGTATGTCGAGGGCCTCGTCGTATGACGGTTGGCGGTAAACGTTGACCAAAGTGATGTCGTTGACCGTGAGCCAAAGAATGTCACGAGTTGCCGCGGGCCTCCTCTGATCTACCATCAGCCCAGGCCTGCGGCGGACATAGGTCATGACTCTGGGTCGGGTGCTATTGTCTTCCCAGCTGTCAACCGGGAGAAGGTGTCGTAGGCGGGATGTGTTGGTAAGGCATCGGCCGCCTTTTGTTTCTGTCCATGGCTCCTGGAGGAGCACCACATCGTAATGTTCGGAATCGGCGAGGGCAAGGGCGCAGTCGTGCGCCGGCGAGATCTTGCCCACGTTCGCTTGGAAGACTCGCAGAGTCTTATTGCCACATTGATTTGTGCGTGGGTATCTCGTCATGAGAGACAGAGTCCTCAATGATGCGTCGCTTCTTCGTAGGAGAAGCAGATCTGTGTCGTTGGCCTCCACCCGGAGGTTTGGGTGCCGAGGCCATCATGACGGAAGGCGGGGTTACGGTCCTGGTCGAGCTTAGGGTCGATTCGCTACCGCGCCGTGGGGCTTCGTCATGAGGTTGGGCTTGCTGTCCGTCGTCCCGGGCAGCACTTGAGGTCGGGGGTGAGGTGCGTCGATTCCGAGGCGGTCTTCCTGTCAGGCCCAGGCGTTACTGTCTTTTCGGTGACACCACCCGGCGAGCAGGTGGCATCCCGTTCGGGCTGCTCGGATCGTTCTACTCTTTCGTATTGTTCCTTTCGCCGGGCGGACAGTTGAGCGCCCAGCTCTCGGACGCGAGATTTCTCTTCTCTCGTCAGACGGCGAATGACGCCGTGTGATCGCTTCGGGCGCGCAGGGCACTTCGCAAAGTCTGCGGCGTGGGGCCCAAGGCAGTTCGCGCACCGCTCGAGGGCCACGCAAGCTTCCGCGTCGTGGCCGCGCCGTCCGCACCGCTTGCAGGATGCTTGTCGGTCGCAGGTGTGTCGGGCGTGAAAGTCCCAGCACTTGTCGCACTGGCTGGGCAGGCTAGATCTCTCAATGTATTGGGCGAGCCGACTGGATCCAAACAGCCTCCAGGGCTTATCAGTCGGTTCGAGGAATGAGACAATCAAGGTACAGGTCAGGGGGTCGTTCGGCTTGCGCCTGGCGGGGCGCACCCTGATGGGTTTGAGGCCGGTCTGGCAGGCGATTTCATCTTTGGCGGCTGGCTCGTAGTCCAATTCTTTCCCTGTAGGTCGGTAAGAATATAGGGGCAGTTTGCCACGGCGTAGGTGTACCATCTCTGGCTGATTTCTACATCTGTCGCGCCCATGTCTTGGGACCACTCTGACTGTCGTTGGACGATAAGATCCCGAATGGTCGCATCTGTTGTTCTGATGGCCCATCCGGAGTTCACCTTGAAAGCGGCTGGGACTTGGTGAAGGTCGATGCCGACTTTGGCGGCAATGTGGGTCCGGATTGCGTAGCTATTGTGGTCCCTCGCCGGTGCTTCGGCCGGGAGTCGCACAAAAACCCGGAGGTCTTCTTTCGGCGGGGCGGGGATTGGTCGTCCCTGGAGACGGGAAATTGGCTGTTGTGGCTCTTGTTGCGGGGCTGCAGCGGCCGTGGAGAGTGGCCACATGGCCGCTGGCTTGCGGTGCGACCGGCGGCCACGCTGCTGTACGTCGGCGCAGATGCGAGTCGGAGATCGGAGGGCGTCTGCCTCCAGAGGTCGAGAAAACGGTTGGAGAAGTGCTCTGCGAAGCTGTGTTCGAGACCAGATGTGAATTGCTTCGCAGTCTGCTCGAATGATTCGCAGAAGGCCCGAAAACCGTCATTTTGGCGTTGTGGGCATCGGTTTCGTCGCCGGCGAGTTTGTTAGCTGCATCAATGATAGACACCGGTTGGAGCACGTCGGTCTCGGTGGTGCCGGGCAGGCTCGGGACGGTTCACGCCGCGCTCCTTCCGTAGCGGCGGCATTGGACAGGCGGATGAGGGGCGACGACGGCGTTGCTGCCGGCCGCCGGAATGCTGAAGAGAGACCAATGGGACGGGTCACAATGGGAGAACTATTTCGCAGCTGAGATGCACGGGCTAAGCGAGCAAGGTTAGGCGGGGTATGAGCACCCAGATCAAAGGGATCCGAGCTGGCATGCGAGCTCGTGGCAGATGCCATGGCCGCAGCCGAAGCCAGCGCAGAGCGCGGCTACAGAGGTTGTCGTGCACGTGTTAAGCAAATTGGTAGAAATTGTGCCACTTTCTTAACAATTGCATGCCAAGAAAGTGTGATGACAAAGGAAGGTATATAGCGGCCTTCGCGAGCATAGACTATAAAGTATAGGGTAGGACGCTCGAGTATATAGCTCTAGAGCTATAGGGGACGCGGACGTTAAATATTAATAAACGCGCTGTATCCTTATAGTACGACCCGTATAGCCTATACGTATAGCTATCCCGCTGCCCGACGTTAGATAGTATTATACTTATCTCTAAAGTATAGGATAGAGATTTAGTAGGCAATAGAGTTCTAGAGGAGATAACCGGTATATAAGCGAGACTAGGTAAGCTAAGCGATAAGACTATTCGCGAGGCCTTAGGATAGCTAGACGTCGACTCTTTAAGCTCTACGGGCATATATATATATAGCTATAGTAATACCGGACGCTCGATAGAATCGTGCTCGTATTAAGTAGGGATATAGGAGAGGTTTAAGGGAGGCGTATCGGTCGCGGTTCGGACCTCGGCTAACGTACTAAAGCAATATAACTAAATAACTAATAAAAGAAGGAAGCTTATAAGGAGGGGCTAAGATAAAAGAAGGAGATCTTAGGCTAATTAGAAGCCGAGATTTTCGAGGGTAAATAAGTTTTTTTAATAGGTAAGGCAACCCTTTATAGGTTACGTAAAGAGCCTTAAGGAATAAGTAAGATAACCCCTTATAAGTTACGTAAAAAGCCTTAAGGAACGAAGACTAAGGTTAAGATAAATAAGATAAAGATAGAGGGCGAGAGTAAAGAACGTAAGTAGGCGGTAGCGCTAGGAACTAATATATATAAGAAGGTAGGTAAATAAATTAGCTATTCGGGCACTATCCTATAACGGGAAGAGGGAGAAAAAGTAAGAAGGTAAATATAGCGATAATAACGGTTACGGGGTAAGAGAGAGGAAGGGAGTATAAGAGTATAAGAGCGCTACTAAGAGGTACGGGCTAATAAAGCACTTAGGTACGTAGTACTAATATATCGGTAGGGTATTGGCAGGGAATCGTGCCTACCCCGCTCGTATATTATAGACTACTCGCTACTCCGACTAAAGAGGAGAATAAGCTTTAGCTTGCGACGAGGAGGGATTTCTCCTCTTTAGTCGGAGTAGCGAGTAGTCTATAATATGCGAGCGGGGTAGGCACGATTCCCTGCCGATACCCTACCGATATATTAGTACTACGTACCTAAGTGCTTTATTAGCCCGTACCTCCTAGTAGCGCTCTTATAAAGAGAGGTACTAAGGCATAAATAGGAGAGCAAAAGCGTCTACCCTAGCTACCGATCGAGTAGTTAGGAAAATAACTATAGTATAGCTACTTATAATATTTCTATAGAGTTCTAGTATAAATTAAGGCTATAGAGCTTAAGTATAAGTATAGTATCCTAAAGACGCTCGTAACGTAGGTAGGCTAGGCGAGGCCGAACTACGTAGCTAGTGCACTATTCCTATAGTAGATAAGGCCTATCCTATAAGAGTATAAAGCGGCGTATTAGAAGGTAGTAAGGGCGCGCTACGAGAGTTATAGCGAAGTTATAAAGGATATTCTATAGAGCCCGATATCGTACCTATATATAAAGAGGCCGTTTATACTCGTAGTTATATCGTTATTCTATAGCTAAGTAGGATATAAAATAAGGGCGAGGTAAGAAATATAGGATATAATAGTAGAGGTAGGGTAAGTAAACGGAAGTATAGGCGTAAAGTAAATATAAGGGTAGGATATATAGAGTATAGAGGGGAAGGTCTACTAGGTTTATAGAGAGATAACGGGGGCGAGGAGGTATAGCTAATGCTTAGCGGTCGCGTATTATAGTAGGCAATACTAAAAGGAGGACTAGAAGGTATATAAGAAGGGATATAAGCTAAAGGTAAGCTAGGGAGCTAGTAAGGGGAAGTAAGTAACGCTATCGAGGCGGCCTTAAAGCTAGCCTTTTACGCCGTAACGGCCTTTATAGAACCAACCGCCGACTTTAGCGACCCTCGTCCCTATAACTTATATAACTAAGGAGCGGAATATAAGATAATAAAGACGCCCCTTTACGAGGCGTAACTATAGGCCCCCCGTTGCCGCTAAACGTAACTAAGAGGTGTAGCGGTAAGCTAGTAAGGAGAGAGAAGGGAATAGGAAAGAAGGGAAAGAGAAGGGACGAGGCGTAACGCATAGGATATTAACGAGGTCACGGAGAACGTCTAGAGGCAGGCAGTGTTATAAGAAACGGGTTTATAAGCTAAAACTATCCTTTAATAAAGGGAGAAACATAGTAATACGTAGAGTAATAGTAACTTTATAGTAATAAGCTATATTAGGAATAGTATCCCGTTCTATTTTAGTAAAGGTAGGAGGCGTAAGAGAGCGATTAGTTTATAGTAGGTAGCTTATTTCTATATACGATAGCGGAGAGGGCAAGCGGGCGGGTCGGAGGTGCTCGCGACAATAAAGTTAAGAAGGGAAGGCGGGGGGGCCGGAGCGGGAGCGGGCGGGATACTATCTAGTCGAGACGAAGAAGCGGCTAGCGGGGGATAGGAAGAGGGGGCGGCGGGGCCGACGGTGTCCGAAGACGAAGAAGGCGGCGAATACTATAGCTATAGTAAGCGCGCCCTCTTTATAGGCGTATCGGTAAGGGCCGGGTAGGAGCGCTTAGGCGGCGGCGTAACGGGGTTAAGGGCGGTCGGGGCCGAGGCCGAGGAAGGGGGGGCCGACGTAGCTAAGGCTAGCGCGGCAACGGAGTATAAGGCGGCGCGGACGGAATCGAAGGTAGAGGAGGCGGATAGGGTCTAGCGCCTAAGGGGCATAGCGAGGGGGGAAGCTAAGGCGGCGGCGGCGGCCGAGGGCCTATCGATAAAGGTCTAGCTATCTAGGACGATAATAAAGATATAATCGCGCTCTAAGCCTAGGGGGGAGAGCATAACGCGGTAGTCGAGAAGGCCGACGACCTTTCTAGTATAGGTAAAGGGGACGCTAGGTAGGAAGGAAGAGTTAGGCTTTTTAGCGATTTTCTTATATAGTACGGCCTAAGGGTTAACGTAAATAGGAAAGATAATAAAAACCTTAAAGGGGTAGTAGCCCTTATATAGAATCCTATTTAGTAAGCTAGGGGCGATATAGGTCGTAAGCTAGATAAAGCTATAGTAGCGGAGCTAGTTAGGCCCGAGATTAGGTAGGAAATCTTAACGTAGGAGGTCGAGGCCGGGCCTAGCTATAACGCTATAGAAGGAGATAACGGGAGGCGTAGACGGGAACTAGCCGCTAGAGGCTAAGGAGCGCGGTAGGACGCTAAGGGGCAAAGTTAGCGGGGCGGTAGGTAAGGAGGCGCATTAAAATAAAAAGGGGAGGGGGGCCTATAGCTAGTAACCTTAGTCGCGGACGATAAGGGCGGGCACGGTATAGAGAATAGTATCGTCTAGGCCGGCCTCGAGCCCGTCGCGGCGCTCTACCTCCTAGGAGAGGGCGTAGGGGTAAACGCGGCTACTTATAAAGAACTACTGCTCGGACTAGTCGGTATCGACGACCGGCTAGCTATAGATAGAGAAGTTTTAGCTAAAGAAGAGAGCGGGCCCTAGGTCGTCGCCCTTAGCTTAGAGGGGCGCGTACTCGGTCTTTAGTAGCTACGAGGGCACCGGTAAGAGAACGCGGGCGACGGCCTCGGCGTTAAGGCCCCTAATATAGTGCTCGTCCTAGTAGGCGAACCTCGCGGGGCAGTCGGGCTAGGCGAAGAATATTATAGATATATTACCTCCCGCGCTCTTACTAGTACTAAGGGGCTTACGGAGGTATAGGGCAGCGCTATCCGCCGACGGAGATAAAGATATAGCGAGGCCGTATATCGTAGTAAATATAGCGAAATTCTTAATAGCTAGTACTAAGAAAGTAAGAATATAGGGGAGTAAATATAAGTATTATTATTATTATTTTATATTACGCTTAGAGGGTTTCCCTATAGAGCTACTACGCTAAGCTATATACCTACTATATATAGTTCTATTATACTTAAAGCCCTACGCTTCTTTTTATCTATTTCTAGCTTTATTCGCTATAATATAATAGGCTTACTTAAAGGTTAGTTTCTCTAAGTATTTAGCGTCCTACCTTTAGCGACTAAAGCGCGGTCTATTAAGTTAAAGGCTATTATATTAGTATAATTATCCTTTAATTAGTATATAGTCCCTCGTTAGTTTATACTAAAGCGTTTCGTTACTAATACGAACTATATTATCGCCTATATAGCCCCTATATTAGGCTACTACTTATCGTCGTTTATATTACGACCACGGCTTGTAGGCCGCTAATAATCGACTGCGTTAAGCACGTAATACGGCCTAACGGATAAATAGTCGGCACGACTATTTAATAGTTATAGGATCGAGGGGATCGCAGAGATCTAAGTAATCTAGGATTAACGGGATCACTATACCCTATACGATCTAACGTTAGGGATTATAGCTAGGCCTATAATCTAAGGACAGTCTTTACGGGTATATATAGCCACCTACTTTTACTCCTTTAAATAGATAGCTCTCTAGCTTTTAATATAGATCTTTATTACGATTCTATCTCTAATTCTAATTACTTAGTTATAGTCTATAGTCTACGACCTCCGACTTATTACTAACGTAATATACTTATTATTGCTTAGACTACGCCCTATTATATCTGCTAATATAAACCCCTCGATAGGTTTATCCCTTAAAAATAACACCGGTCGTTATACGTTAAA